TTAGAATTTTGACAGTTATGAATTAGTGAAACGATCTGAAGTGACACGCAAAAAAAAGGAGATTTGAAAGTGGAACTGCTTTTGAAAATGGATTTTGGAATTATGAACTGTGATGACGTAGTATTTTGCTTTCAAGAAAACGTTTAAGATCTGAGGTCCACTCTAAAACCAACATACGATATTGGTGGTATATTGCGGTATTGACGCCATGCTTGAATTATACAACGAATGATGACCTATCTCTTAAGTGGATTCGTTTTCGAAATGTGCCAAAATCGATTTACGATTCATGACAAACATCGAATTCGGTCCCGGTTGGGTTTAACAAATGTTGTGTGAATCGTTACCAACCTCAACCGGCTCAGCCTTGCTACCATTAGCCCTGAGTTCGATGGTTTCACTGATTGTATATCCGCGATAACCATCACTACTCACTTCTTGTTTCGAAATCACATCCAATAGACCAGTCAAACTACAAATACGCATCTCACTAAGTGCTGTATCCGAGCGTGCCGTCAACACTGGACGATGTTTCCGATTGCCCCACAATCGCGTACTGCTCCGAACTGCTCTTGCTGAATCGCTCACTGGAACATACGAATTCATTCAACTGAGTCTTTGAGCTGTAATCTCATAAATTTTTTTGAGAGATACTTAAAGTATTACTGATCAAATTGCACTTCATGGTTGAAACGTAGCTGATTTTTGAACAGTTAGGAAAAGGAGGCAGAAGGATTGTGAGATTTCTGAATGCTACTTCCGTTGTGTATGCGCAGATTCGAGTCTAAATCTGATTGGAATGACAACTGATTATATTTCAGTTGCGCTTATTCCTGGTGGTGCCTGCGAATAATCCACCAGTGCTGGAATTCGATTGCTGCTTTACTCATTCGGATAACATTCAAATGAACCACTTATATCAAGTGAGTAAGCGATATTTCAGGTTTGATTAGTCAACTGAACAATTTCAGTGTCTTGCCGCTTGCGTTCGAGCTGAACTGTTGTGTTTCTTCATATTTGCTAGGTATGGCTATGTTTTTTGTGCGTCTCGGACGTTTGATTCTCGTCAGTCGATTCAACCTTACGTAATTATCTGCGATCAACACTGTTTGCTTCGTATCTGGTAGTGGCTGGTCTGCGTCCGTCATTTGCTGAAATTGACAGGTGCCTTTCAAATTCTCACAGATTTTTTCTTCAGTCGTCGAATCGCGACGGTCTCATCGAGGATTCGTAGAATAATCGAAAAATGTTGGCGTGAATCAATTTGGATGATTCTCGTAATTGGAAACCATACGCATTACTGAAAAGGACTGTAATCAGTTTTCGAATCGTTTATGTCTTGTAGTGATTAACGGAATGATCTTATGCTGTATTCTAGTTGATCGCTCGTATGCAAAAAATCAGTGGCTGTTTGATACTGCATAAACGTTCCACCTTTTTGTTCACCGTCTTCA